CTTCGGGGGGGGCACGGGGGGGGGGGGGGGGGGGGGGCGAAAGGCGGGCCGACAGAGGGGGAGGGGGGGCAGCGGGCAGGAGGGAGGATGGGGAGAAGGGGGAGGAGGGGAAGGAGGGGGAGGAGGAGGGAGGAGGGAATGGAGCGGAGTGGAGTGGAGTGGGGCCCGTTGCGGATGCAAGGTTGTCCTCTCAACCTGTAAAGGACGCTCGAATGCCCAGGTTTCTTCTCGGCTTAGCTGAAGACCTCGAGACTCAAACCAGCCGCAAATATGTCGAGGCATTCGCGCTGGATTCCGTTCATCAGCTCACGACACTGTCGCCTCAGGAAGCAAGCTTGCTTCTCGGCGATGGCGCCACACTGCGTACAACATCAAATCCTGAACGTCGTGTGGCAATTCAGGTTGTGGGTGGGATGAGCCTACCCCCACCCCCATGATGTGGATGCCTTCCCCCTTCTTCGAAAACAGAAACACGCCGTCAACGTTATATGAGTGCGCGCAGGGTGTGGACAACCAGGCTGTCATGCAAGCCTTGGAGTCCGACACGAAACATCGATCACAGTGCTGCTTATCTTCAGTTAAAACACGGGGAGAGAAGAGGGCGGAGACGGCAGTAGCAGAAGGAAGAAGAGGAGGAGGAGGAGGAGGAGGAGGAGGAGGAGGAGGAGGCAGGGGCCCAGCAGCAGCAGAGCGCCCTTCTGTCCTCGGACCCTCGGCCGCCTTGGTGTCCGCCATACTGTCGATCGTTGCTCTGACGAGACGTTGCATGACCAGATACGCCCTCCTATCGTGCATGAGAACGCGGCACCTGTCGGCCTCTGGCACACGAGCATCGTGAGCAGCGTAGGCGGCCAACTCGTCCGTGACGGCGCTGCCCATTACGAGGCCCTGCGCGCCACGTCCCTCGCACAGCTGCTGAGCCGTGATGTGCGAGTTCGTGAGCAGCACAACCACACACCAGTCACGCACAATCTTGCCGATGTGCCACCGCATGTCCGCATCTTCTCCCCATCGGTATAAATATTTCTCGCCGTACCAAACATCGACGAACATGTCAGAAAGAGCGCGTTCTGTGGGCGCTTGGAGGGGGGCGGGGGTTGGAACCGGACCCCCCCCCCATTTGGACTGAAGGGGGGGGGGTTCGCACCCCCCCCCTCCTCCCTCCTCCCCTACTTTTTCTTCCTTCCTCTCCTCGCGCCGGCGCCGGCGTCGGCGGCGGCGTGCGGCGGAGGCGGGAAACGTCGATGAAGACGACGACTTCCTGTTCTGGGCCAGCGCCGGCGCCTGCGGCCGCTGGCGGCGGCGGCAGGGAGGGTCGACGAGGACGACGACGACGACGACGACGACGACGACGACGACGACGACGACGACGACGCTCCGCCACCGTACCATTGTTTCGGGTCAGAGTTCCAATGGATGCCTCGTGGGGTCTCGTCGGAGGGCTCTCGGGGGCTTCTGAAGGCAGTTGTGAAGCCTCCTGGGCGCCTCTCGGGCGTCTCTTGGGGCCTCTAAGAGGTAGTGGCGGTGGTGTGCTGTGGTGGTTGTGGCGTTGGTGGTGGTGGTGGTGGTGGTGGTGGTGGTGGTGGTGGTGGTGGTGGTGGTGGTGGTGGTGGTGGTGGTGGTGGCGGTGGTGGTGGCGTGGTGCTGGTGGGGGCGTGGTGGTTGTGCTGCTGGTGGTGGCATTGTTGTGGTGGTGCTGGTGGTGGCGCGGGTGGTGTGTGTGGTTCTGGTGTGGTGTGGTAGTTTGTTGGTGTGTTGCTGTTGTGGAAAGGGGGGAGCGCTGGCGGTGGGCGTGTGGGTTCGTCGTGTGGTTGTGTGGCGGCAAGTGGTGGTGGCGGGTGGTGGGTTGTGGCGGTGGGTTTGTGGTTGGTGGGTGGTTGCGGTGGCGGTTGGTGGTTGCGGTGGTGGTGAATGTGGTTGTCCCTCCGTTTGTGGCGCGTGGTGGGTTGGTAGTGGGTTGTGGTGTTGGTGTGGTGGTGTGGTGGTGGTGGAAGTAGGGGTGGTGGTGGTAGGTGGTGGTGGTGTGCTGCTTGCTGCTGGTGGTGGTGTAGGTGGTGGTGTGGTAGGGTGGTTTGTGGTGGTGGTGTGCTTTGTGGTGGTTGGAGTGGTGGGTTGTGGGGGTGGTGGTGGTGATGGCGGTGGTGGTGGTGGTGGGCCTGGTGTGGTGGTTTGTGGTGGTGGTGGCGGTGGTGGTGGTGGGTTGTGGCGGAGGTGCTGGTGGTGGTGGTGGTGGCGGTGGCGGTGGCGGTGGCGGTGTGGTGGTTTGTGGTGGTGGTGGGGGTGGCGGTCGGTTGTGGTGGTGGTCAAGTGGCTGTTGTGACGGTGGTGGTTGTGTGGTGGTTTGTGGTGGTGGTGGTGTGCTTGTTTGTGGTGGTGGTATTGGTGGTGGCGGTTATGGCGGTGGTGGTGGTGGTGTGGTGGATTGTGGTGGTGGCAGTTGTGGTTTGTTGTTGTGGTGGTGGGTTGTTGTGGTGGTGGTGGCTGTGGTGGTGGTGGTTTGAAGTGGTTTGTGGTGGTGGTGGTGGTGTTGAGTTGTGGTGGTGGTGGTGGCGGTAGTGGTGGTGGCGGTGGTGGTGGCGGTGTTGGTGGTGGTGTTGCTGGTGGTGATGCTGGTGGTGGTGGTGGGTGGTTTGTGGTGGTGGTGGTGGTTGTGATGGTGGTGTGGTGGTTTGTGGTGGTGGTGGTGGTGGGTTGCGGTGGTGGTTGTGGCGGTGGTGGTGATGGTGGTGGAAGTTGTGGTGGTGATTTGTGGCGGTGGCGGTGGTGGTTGTGGTTGGTTGTAGTGGGTCGTGGTGGTTTGTGGTGGTGGTGGCCTTTGTGGTGGCGGTGGTGAAGTAGTGGTTTGTGGTGATGGTGGTGGTTGTGGTGGTAATGGGTTGCGGTGGTTGTGATGGTGGTGGTGGTGGCGGTGGTGGTGGTGGTGTGGTGGTTTGTGGTGGTGGTGGTGTGGCCTGCGGGTCCTCCCGCCGCCGTGTTTTGGTTTTGGTTCAGAGTTCTAATGGATGCCTCTTGAGGTCTCGTCAGAGGGGTCTCGGGGGCGTCTGAGGAGCATGTGTGAAGCCTCCTGGACCTTCCTAAGGGCCTCCTGGTGGCTTTTGGGGGGCGAGGGCTCGATCTGGCGATTTGTGCTTGCCCTCTGCGGCCTCTGGGCCCTCTCTGGTCATCGTCGCTGCGGTCTGCCGTCGGCGCTGCTGGCCGCCGCCAGCGCCAGCGCCGGCGCCGGGGGGGGGGTTGGACCTTCCCCCCTGGGCCATCTCTGGTCATCGTCGCTGAGTCCCCGCCGTCGGCACTGCTGGCCGCCGCTAACGCCGGCGCTGGCGCCGAGAGGGAGCGGGGGGGCTTTGGGAGAGAGGGGGGTTGGCGCGAGGAGGAGTCCCCCTGGTTCTGATTGACGGCGCCGAATGTTGGGGGGGGGCCCACCCCGGTTCGAAACGCACCGCCGAATGTTCCCAAGGCAAGCGCCCGTGAAACGCGCTCTCTCCCATGTCGCAGTCCATGACGTAGGTCAGCGCACCCGTCATACAAAAAAGAGCCACCTGAAATGCTTGCAGCTCGCCTCGCGCCACCACCTGCCTCGGACCGACCAGTGGCCCAACGACGCACGAGTGCACCAAAGGCCTGGCGGTGTCCAGCAGCCTCACGATGGCTAGCCCAACCCGCCTGAGTTTGTTCGAACTCGTGTCGTTACCCCCGCTGGCGTCGCCGCAGACAAACAGAGGGTCGTCATCGAGCCCGTGGCCCATACAACCCTCCGCCACCACGCCAATCCCTGCATACCACCACTTGTCCTCCGAAGGAGGTGGAGTCGCCACCACCCACTCGGCAGGTAGCAGCCCAAGCAACCAGAAAGCCTCAGCGGTATTGACATGCACCACCGCCTGGCCCACGAGCTCGTCACTGAGGTCGTAGGCATTGGACCCTTTGTTCTTCTCGCATTGCCAACCCCCAGAAAGGGAGGAGGAAGGAGGGAGGAGGGAGGAGGGAGGAGGGATAAGGGAGGAGGGAGGAGGGAGGAGGAGGGAGGAGGGAGGAGGGAGGAGGGAGGGCAAACAGGGAGGAGGGGGAGGAGGGAGGGAGGAGAGGGAGGAGGAGGGGGAAGAAGGGGAGGGAGGCAGGTAGGAGAGGAGGGGGGGGAGGGAGGAGGAGAGGAGGAGACAGTGGGTGGGATGGGGAGGAAAAGACAGGAGGAGGTAGACGGTGGAGGGAGTGGGGGGAGGGTGAAGGATGAGGAACAGACGGGAGAGGAGGAAAGGGAGCGGGAAGAAGCGGAAAGGGTCAAGAGGACGGGGGGAGGGGGAGGGGGTGGGCGGCAGGAGGAGGAGGAGGAGGAGGAGCAGGAGAAGGAAGAAACAAAGGAAAAGGGTGAATGTGAGAGGCAAGGGGGCGGAGGAAGAGGAGCGGGAGGCGGGGGAAGGCGGAGGCGGGAGAGGATGGCTGCAGGGCGCAGGGCTGCAACAGCCCCCTACCAGCCGCAGGGCGGCCGACTGGCGTGGTGCAGGGGTGGGCGAGGAAGGAGGCACACGGCCCACAGGCGGAGGGGGGGGGGGGGCAGTCGGGAAGGCAAAGAGGCGCGCGAGCCATGGAGAACGAGGGGCACGGTCGAAGGAGAAGCGCGGGCACCACTTGATTCCGCGCCTGCTGCGTTCGACGAGCACCCCCACGCGCCAGCGGCACGCCCGCCCCCCCGCTGCCCGTCCCCGGAGAGACCCCTCGGAGTCGAGCTCGAGCTCGGCACTGGCGTCCGCGCGCCCTGCCTCGGCTGCAGCCCTCGCCTCCGTGGCCTGCTGCCTCAATCGGGTCGGGCGAAAGGGGGGGATAGCACAGGGGGGGGGGGAGAATCAGCTCGCGTAGCTGATTTTCCCGGCGCCTCCCGGCGCCGGAGACGGCTATGTATCGAGGAATGGGCCCCTCGGTGGGGCCGAAACCAGCTGCATGCAGCAGATTTCGTAACCCCCCTTTTCCCAATCCCCCCCCCCGACTCAAGGCTGTCGCATCGACTG